GGAAAATAACCAGGTAAGGTTGATACGGCAGAGGAGACCCAGTTGCCGGCTGCTTTGGGACGCTCCTCCCCTGAACACCTGACGGAGGTTGGAAGAAACCCCAGAATGAGGCCTTGTCTGTCTGTCTGTCTGTCTATCATGTCTGTTTATCATGTCTTTTTATCTATGTCTCTCTCTCTCTCTCTCTCTCTCTCTCTCTCTCTATCTATCTATCTATCTATCTATCTATCTATCTATATGTCTATCATGTGTATCATCTTTTTATCTATGTCGCTATTGTCTGTTTATCATATTTTTATTTATTATCTATCTGTCTATGTCTATCATGTCTGTTTATCATGTCTTTTTATCTATATCTATCATGTCTGTTTATCATATTTTTATCTGTATCTATCTATCTATCTATTTATCTATCTATCATGTCTATCATCTTTTTATCTATGTCGCTATCGTCTGTTTATCATATTTTTATTTATCTATCTATCTGTCTGTCTATCATGTCTGTTTATCATGTCTTTTTATTTATGTCTCTATCATCTACCTACCTCTATCTATCTATCTATCTATCTATCTATCTATCTATCTATCTATCTATCTATCTATCTATCTATCTCATATCTATCTTTTTATCTGTCTATCATCTGTCTATCGATCGATCTAACTATCTAAGTCTATCATGTCTGTTTATCATGCCTATTATCTCTATCTATCGTGTCTGTTTATCATGTATATATCTATTATGTCTATCATCTATCATGTCTGTCTCTCTGTCATGTCTATCATGTCTGTTTATCATGTCCGTCTATCTGCCATGTCTGTTTATCATGTCTGTTTATCTGTTGTCTATCTCCATCCCTATCATATCGGTCCATCTGTCATGTCTGTTATGTCTGTTTATCTATCATGTCTGCTTATCATGTCTGTTTATCTAGTATGTTATCTCTCTATCGTGTCTGTTAATCTATTACATCCACTTATTTATTTATTTATTTATTTATTTTTATTTTATTAAATTTATATCCCGCCCTTCTCCTTGCGGACTCAGGGCGGCTAACAATCGAATCTCCTTTAATCAGTACCATTCTTCTTGTCATCAGGTGTCTGAACTGAGTGAGCTGGAATATATTGAATCTCTGCCTCTGCTGAGAGTGTTCAATCTGTTGAAGAATCCCGTTCAGGTAAGGAACAAATCAAATCATCGATGGAATCAAATCAGCTGTAAATGTTTCTCACGCTAACGTTGTTTGGCACGGCAAATAAGTGGCAGATTTGAGACAGAGTCCACCAGGACAGGAACATCACCCAGAGTTTCTTTGCGTAGTGAGAAAGAAATAGCAATAGCCCTTAGACTTATATACCGCTTCACAGTGCTTTTACAGCCCTCTCTAAGCAGGTTTATAGAGTCGGCCTTTTGCCCCCCAACAATCTGGGTCCTCGTTTTACCCACCTCGGAAGGATGGAAGGCCAAGTCAACGTTGTGCCAGTCAGGATCAAACTCCTGGCAGCGGGCAGAGTCAGCCTGCAATACTGCCTTCTAACCACTGCACCACCATGGCTCCTTCCTTCCTTCCTTCCTTCCTTCCTTCCTTCCTTCCTTCCTTCCTTCCTTCCTTCCTTCCTTCCTTCCTTCCTTCCTTCCTTCCTTCCAACTTAGCAACAGCCCTTAGACTTATATACCGCTTCACAGTGCATTTACAGCCCTCTCTAAGCGGTTTACGTAGTCGGCCTTTTGCCCCCCAACAATCTGGGTCCTCATTTTACCCACCTCGGAAGGATGGACAGCCGAGTCAACCTTGAGCCGGTCAGGATCGAACTCCAGACAGTGGGCAGAGTTTTGCCTGCATCCAGCGTCTGCATTCTGCCCCACGACGACTCCTGGGTGGCATCTAAATTGAACAAAGAAAGAAACAGATCGGACATATCAATAAATACATCCACGGCTGCAAAGTAGGACAGTTGACCTGGCCGGAAGGGAGATGTGTTTGGTTTTGCTTGATTAAGGGCTAATTAATTTGGTCTCTGCATGGTCTTTAATAACTTTTTCCCCCCCGTAGTTTTGAAGTGCGATGTTAGGCTCGGTTGCCTCCCAGAATGCATTGCGAGAAGAGCAGCATTTGCATCATTGCCTGTTTTCGTTGGCCCATCCTGAGACGCTTCAGAGTCAGGAAACCGGGGGGGCTGGACTAGAAGACCTCCCGAGGTCCCTTCCAACTCTGCTATTCCGTTGGCTTGTAACTGTGCAAGGGGCGAGCGGCCCAAGGCCAAGAACGTTAAGAAGGGAAGGATTTTACCCCAAAGGCGGAAAGAAATGAAGGCCAAGCAGGCTTTTTCCCCCTTTCCCAAAACATCTGCACACTTTTGAAGACAAAGTGGCTAGTCCTCATTCCTGCACGAGGGACGTGACGGTTTTGTGCGATGAACAAGCCACGGGAATCTCATCTGCCATTTAAATCAGAGTAAAATCTCACATCTCTGCCTGATCCAGCATCTGTTTAGGACTTTTTTTTTCTGAGCAGGGTAGAAGACGAAGCACTCGCGTCTCGAGTTTTAATTTAGAGAGTCTTCGGAATAGGTCCCAGGGGGCCGGGGAAGAAATATCACCCTGTTTAATCAGCGTTTTTCTGCTCGGTCGAAGTTGCTGGGCACAACCCACCGGGGATTTGTCCCTGGTGGGAGGCCCAGCTTTTTAATCCTGATGTCAAATTCAGAATAGAGCCAGGAGGGGGATCCCGGGAGGTCTTCCAGTCCAACCCCGGTGCTCAAGCCGGAAACCTTAAACCATTTCAGACAGGTACCTGTCTAGTCTCTTCCTAAAAACCTCCAGTGATGGAGCAGTTTGTAAGCTGAAGGCTCCCTGTACAGAGTTACAGAACACAGAGTGGGAAGGGACCCCGGGAGGTCTTCTAGTCCAACCCCCTGCTTAAGCAGGAGACCTTATTATACCATTTCAGACAGGTGGCTTTCCAGTCTCTTCCTGAAAAACCTCCAGTGATGGAGCAGTTTGTAAGCTGAAGGCTCCCTGTACAGAATGACAGGACACAGAGTGGGAAGGGACCCCGGGAGGTCTTCTAGTCCAACCCCTGCTCAAGCAGGAGACCTTATTATACCATTTCAGACAGGTGTCTGTCCAGTCTCTTCCTAAAAACCTCCAGTGATGGAGCAGTTTGTAAGCTGAAGGCTCCCTCTGCAGAATGACAGAATACAGAGTGGGAAGGGACCTCGGGAGGTCTTCTAGTCCAACCCCCCACACACACACACTCAAAGTAGGAGACCTTTCAACCCTTTGGAGCTTTTCTTGCTGCTGTATTGCCCTTCGCTCTCCCTGACCTGGCTCGCTCCCTTCTCCCACTTTTATACAGCTGTGAGGAAGAGGAGGGTCCAACTCTGGATTCGCAGAAAACGCAATTAGTCCTCAGCTTACGACCAAATGTCTGTTGCTAAGCGAGACACGTCAAGGGAACTTTGCCCCATTTTGCCCTCCCCCCCCAGCCACAGCCATTAAGCGGATCGCTGCGGCTGTTTCAGTTAGTAACCCGGTCGTTAAGAGAATCCAGCTTTGACTTTGCTTGTCAGAAGGTTCGCAAAAGGAGAATCTCTGCAAACCGTCGTAAGGACATGCCAGTTCCCAAGCCTCTGGATTTTGATCACGTGACCCATCACGGAGACGCTGCAACGGTCTGAAGTGTGAAAAACGCTCCTTCCCCCCCCCAGCGCTGTTGTAACTTTGCACAGTCACTAAATGAACTGTTGTAAGTCGAGGACTAACTCTGGCGGCCGATAAGAACTTGCCGCCTTTGGTGGGGGTCACGAGTCGGTGGCTAAGGGTGCGAATGTTGATCCCTGCAACGTCTGTGAGTCTGAGAAAGGGGTCCAAAGTCCCTTTTTTTTCTCCCCCGGCGCCGTTGTAACTTTGAATGGTCGCTAAACGAAACCGCTATTTCCCCCGAGCGTCTCTTCCTTCCCTGCCTCCCGTGTCAGACTCCGAGAGAAGAACCGAAGATAATAAAAAAACTCTTCCTGTTATCAGCCCGAATGGCTGAATTGAAATTTCAGTGCTGTGCGTTTTCCCAGGAACAAGAAGATTATTGGCTCCTGGTGATCTTTATGCTGCTCCGTCTGACCGAACTGGATCACCAGAAGATCTCTGTGGAGGAAAAGGTAAAGGTCCTTCCTCCCTCCCTCCCTCCCTCCCTTCCTTCCTTCCTTCCTTCCTTCCTTCCTCCCTCCC